AATTAAAAAAAATATCTTGAGATTAAAATTCACCACATAATTAAATTTTATTCTAAAAAGTAAAACAGACCTATAGTATCAAGTTTGTCCTGTAAATTATAAAAAAGAAAATGCTGACACATATACATATTTTATTCGTTAAAGTCTAGACTTAATGCCAAGCTAGAAAACGATCAAATATCTACAAAGAAAAAGAAAAATCATCACTTAGAAACACTTAAATATAAATTTCTAAATCAGTACTGAATTCTAGTCGAAAGAAGTAAACCTAAAGAACGAATGAATACCTTTCATTTTAAGACACTACAAAAAAAGGACATACTTGTTCGGATTCAGTTGCAAAATCCAACAGCACAGCCATGTGGACACAGAGGTTTATACAGTTCTTTTACTAAGGTTCTCAAAATATCCCAAGTTAGATTCATTATAATTTCTGGCTTAAATCCGGGAATCTGCACAACTACTCTGAAGAGGACAATATGTAATAACAATCATTGTTAATTTCCCATCATCTCACTTTGAAATTCTGTATATCATTTTTGTTCTCTTTAAAAAAAATAAATTCTGACTTAAAATTTAAGAGCAAAATTTTTTAAAGCCATTATAAACTTTAAATTTGAATTTTAGTGATAATAACTGAACACAACAAACACTTGAAAGTCATAGCTAAAGAGCAATTTTATAGGTTGGCCATTCCTAATTCAAATGCTAACATGATCCCTTAAGTAGAAAATTCTACCCCAAAACTTTGTTTCATGTACAATATTATTATATATATTGTAAAAAAAAAGTATCTTCAGGGTATGTATAAGGGATACATGAAACATAAATTAGGCTTGAGTCCTATCCTCGATATTGTTTTATGTATAGGCAAACCTTAGAATGCAAAAATGTCTGGCACACATTTTTTTCTAAGCATTTCAGGTTAAGAGATATTTAATACGTAACCTATCTCAATCCTGTGCTCCTCAGCTTTAAAAAAAATCTAGTGCAGTGGTCGCTATTATCAGGATTTTAAAGAAAAACATCTAGGGCCTAGAAAGAGCGAATAACATTCTTTGCTTCTTATACTGAAAGTTACTGTTTGCTCTCTTTCCTCCCTTTCTTCCTACAGTAGGGAGAGAATTTTCAAAAGAAGTGAAGGCACATTGGGAATCTGTATCACATTTTAGTAGAAACTTGTTTTCTTTTCTTTTTTTTTTTTTGAGACAGGGTCTCACTATGTAGCCCAGGATGGCCTCACACTCCAGCGATTCTCCTGCTACAGCATCCTGAGCGCTGGGATTGCAGGAATGTACACCCACACCTGGATGTGGTGTTTGTAAAATTGAAAACAATAGTACTTTAGAACATGATATATTAACATTTTTATATGTTCAACTTAGAACACCTTGAGTATAGTGAATAAAGTATCTGTGCTCATATATTTTAAAAACACTTTTGAGTTTCAGTATCATCCCATTTTAATTTATGTGTAAGAACAGTTTGCTTGAAAAACAGAAAAATACATACTAAAGAGTACTATGAAATTTTGAAGGTTTATTGTATTTATCTTCACATGTACATAACTAGAAGTCCTCTTCAGTGTTTTCCAACCTGGGAGTGATGTGGGTATCAACAGCGGTTTAATTCTAAAACTGACTTTTACCACTCACTTTGTGTGGCTCACTTAAAGTTCACTCCAATCTTCTTTCATTCCATCCTTGTGACTTGTTTAATAAAATGCCACCCATGTGCCAGGCTGGTAAGACTGAAAATGTTCCAGAACTCTGGGTCAGAGTTGGGAGAGGGGCTAGGCAATGAGAAGACTGCAAAAGGGACAGCAGATCATACCCAAAGTCACCAAAGTCTGGACACACCAGTTTCAGGTACCAGTTCTTAACACAAAATAGCAGCCACTATGTCCGAGAACTAGCTGTATGGTTCTCACTGGTGTTTGTTGTACTTTGTGTTCTGTTGCTTTTCACAGACTCTAACAGGCTTTTAATTCTTTCACTTGGCATCTTCTTCTGTACCTTCTTGCTCTGTGCTACAGACGGCAGCAGCAGGGCAGCCAGCCCCCAGGGCTGCCTGCTTGAAGGGGAAGGTGGGCCTGCATCTTCCTGTTGTAAAACCCAGGCACTTTCTCTGGCCAAGTCAACAAATCTTTGTAGCTGTCCCTGATTTACATTTTTGCTTACGTTGAGAGAAGTTTCAAATGGATTCTGAATATACAGCGGAGAAGAATCAGGTTTGTTTTGCTCTTGTCCCTATAGGTTATGACACACAGAGAGAAAAATTTATAAATTTATAAATGCAGGAAGAGCTTAAATGTCAAAACGTAAAATACCAGCACTAACTTTATACAGTACAGAATTTCTTCCCTGGGAAGCTGGGTATGTATGCATGTTAGTAAACAGGTATGCGTGTACTTCTGTCTTGTCCCATTGTACTTTTAAGAGTATTCTTTGGGGAAAACTTAATAGCTGTATGATCTATGGATGACGACATTACAGCTCAAATGACAGATACCTGGACGTCAACAATGATTTTTAAATAATGTAATTTTTACCTAAAAAGCTAGAGCTGAAAGGGGGAAAATGAAAACTGGGAGGAAATCAGATGGAGAGGCAGTTATTTCTGAGAGCTGCTGAAAGCACACCTATTACAGTGGGAAAAGAAATACACAAAATTAGAATCCTTAAATATACATAGCAATTACCATTTCCCAAGAAGAAATGAGAAAGGAAGAGAAAGATTAAAATGCTAAAGTTTCCAACAGAAAGGCACTTCCAGAAAAAAATCATCCATACTTCACAGAAATAAAAGCTCTGAATGTAAGGAATGGCAGTAAACCTATGTATCACATTCTTTCAAATGATATGGAAATGTCACTGGAATATGGGAAAAGCATCGTGAGCAGCCCCATCCCCAAGTCCTTCCCTAACTTCTTCCATCCACTTCTCAGCAGGTACCCTGCCTGTTACCCAGCATTCTGAGAGGCTAAGGCAGGAGGATCACAAGTTTGAGCTCAGCCTGGGCAATATAACATATGCTTTCTTAAGATGAAAAATGTTAATAAAAAGGTCTGGTGAGGGAACTTAGTTTGAAGACCCACCCCCTAGAAAAGGGACAAAGAACTTTGTATGTTTGGTGACCTTTTCCTCTGAGATTACATTCCAGAGCTTTCCCTTCCTCTCCCATCCCACACCTTAACCGCCTCTGCCAACAGAACAGAGCTAAGGCAACAACAACAACAAAAAAGTATCTTGGGCCAAAATACTGAACAGGATAAACCCAAAGCAGTATCGATCACAAGCACCCCTGGGTGCAGATCTATTTAGTGTGAGATTATGCCCAGAGTATTCTTTGTCTGAACTAATGTACTTAGAGGAACCCAAATCACAGATCCATGTGCTCTAAATAAATTAAGTTGTATGGAGACAAACTGAGGGGATCACTGAACTCTGACCTTGGGACTCTAGACCAAATGTGTTCCACTGGAACACAACCCCAGCTAAGAAACAACTATAAAGCTTTCCAGAAAACTCTATAGGACATTACTGCACATTTTAGAGAACATAGTATCAACAAGCACTGAAGACAGCAAAGGTGCACACATGGCACTGTGACAAAGGCAGGTGTTAACAGAGCCTCCTTCTCCTCTAACTAGATGACTACCCTTAGGCAAGTTAGGTGGCTCCTCTGTGCACCAAACACCTTATTACTTTGTATTACAGTAGGGTTGAAGTGAAATAACGTTTGTTACAGTTCTCTGAAAGCTGATTAAAAATATTACTACATAAGAAGAGAAAATACCTTAAACCAAATACTAAAATATTTACCTGTCGAATATTTATGGAATTCTTATTGAACGCAAAATTGCCAAAATATTCAAAAAATTCCTTCAATAGTAATTCTGCAAGAAAATAATACAATGAAAATAAGAGGAAAGTCTGTTTGAATATGAAAGAGAATAAAGAAAAAGAAAAACACTTACCTAGTGTTTCTCTGTTTTCTGAAGGTTTAATTTTATTCAAATCACGGATAAATGTACAATTGTTGCCTTCTATGACACATTTATCTTCTTCATCTTAAACAGAATTGAACAATAGTTCATATTATATTACCTACTTTAAAAAAGAAATCTGTTTTAAATAAATCTGTTCTATATGAATATGTCCTACCAATAGTGTTATACGTATATTTAAAAGTGATAAAAACAAAAACTCAATTTTAAAAAGATCTGAGACTAACAATACTACAGTAAAACGTATATTACATTTTCTTTACTATACCAGAATTATGTTTTCTAACAACACAAGGATTCTAGAACACATCAGTTTTATTAGTAACCAAAGTAGGGAGTTTTCTTTTTTGTATTTTAGAGAAGGGTCTACAGGGTGTTCCGGGTCTCACTACTAGATTGGACTCATAGAGATCCATCTAGACCAAATGTGTTCCACTGAAACACATTTGTCTGTCTACAGCCTCCCAAGAGCTGCGATTATAGGCGCACACCACCACGCCCAGTCTCATTTAATGTCTCCATGCACCTCGGGGGCGGGGCCAGCATGGCAGGCCCAGGATCAAACCCCCAGACCCTGTACCTGCTTGCTGGCACTTTGATCTGCCGAGTTATTTGGCTGGCCTGGGAGGTTTTTTTTCTTTCATGACATCCTTAATCAGCATTTATATTTTATTTCTGTTTTTACCACCTGTTGTGCTTTTATTCAATGACTTGTATATGACGTAGACTGAATGTTCTAACGTAAGTAAAAACTTCACGTAATTTCTAGAATGCAGTGCTTTAGGTGAACTGAAATCCAATTAATTTTGTAAAACCAATTCAGTAACAACACACTAGAATTATGCAACCAACTTTTAAATACTATCTACCTATTTAATGGTAATCATTTTCTGAATTACTGACATATAACACTGTGAAATCCTTCACCTGCTCTAATACACAACATATAACAGGCTCTTGTGAAAGGCAATCTCTCACTCTTCCAGGCCCTGGCCAGTGGCCCCCTCCTACGCCAGAAGCATTTACTGCCCCAAGCCAGTGCATGCTGGTTCTGCCCGCTGCCATCTGCACTTACCTGACCGCACTCTGACTCTGTACATGCTGCCTACTCCCCTTCCCTAAGTGACTAAGCGGTCCGTCTTCGTCCTACTTATTACTGCCCTCCTCTTCCCACCTGGCCCACAACAAGCATATAATCAATAATCTGAATGACAGCTGACATCTGATTCTGAATGCCTACAAGATCATAAGGTTCTCACAAACTTTTGTCTCTCCTTTTAGTGATTTTTGTTACTTTTTATTAAGACCTATGTTTCTGACATGATTTCTCAAAAATTATTCTAGATTCAAAACTAATTTTAATGGCATATTTAATGTGCTTTACTATGCAACTTACAGTTCACTGAAGAACTATGTTTTGAGAGGCAAAAATGATTCTATCTTTTCAAAGATCTAAATATTAAAAGGGTGTGGTAGTGCATGCCTGTAAGGAGACAGGACAATCACCATCAGTTTGAGGTCAGCTTGAACTACATACTGAGACTCAAAAAAAAGGGAAGACAGACTAAGCGTGGTGGAGCGCGCCTGTAATCCCAGTGCTTTGGAGGCTGAGTCCAATCTGTGCAGTGAGACCCTATAGACCTTGTACTAAATACATTTAAAAAAAGAAAAGAATATATCAAAAAAAAGAGAAGGAAAAACATAAAACAAAAACTAAATCTTTTGGAAGAAAGAATAAGCAGAACTTTTGAAGACATAGGTAAAGGCAAAGATTTCATGAGCAAAATCTTAACTTCACAGGAAATACTACAAAATAATCAACAACTGGGATCTCATCTTATGAAAAGTTTTTACACTTTTCATAAAGAAATCATCACAGTGAAAAGGCAACCCACAGAGTGGGGAAAAAAGCTTAGCTAGCTGTTTTTCAGAAAAAGGGCTAATATCTAGAATGCCAAAGAACTGAAGAAAAATCATAATCCCCAAACTTAAAGACCCAGTCCAAAAGCAGACATGTAAGATGAAGACAGTTCTCACAAGAGATACAAATGGCAAATAAATACATGAAAAAATGTTCAACATCCCCAATCATTTGAGAGATACAAATTAAAGTAACACTGAGATTCCATCTAACTCCAGAAAGAATGGCTGTTACCAACAAGTCAACCAAAAGGTTCCTTCTCTACTGTTAGAATGTAGAATGGTGCAATCACTGTGAAAATCAGTGTGGAGATTCCTAAAAGAACTAGAAACAGAGGTGCCATTAACTCCGCTATTCCCCTTGTTGATATCTTCCCAAAAGAATAAAAAGGCTTAATATACCAGTGACACATGTGCACTCATGTTTATAGCAGCAGTTTGTTAACAGCTAAATTTTGGAAACCATCCAAATGCCCATCAACTGACAAAATAACAAAGATAAGGGTTTTTTATAAAATAAGTACTACTCAGCCATAAAAGGATACATTTGAGACATTTGTAGCTAAATGGATGGACCTTGAGACCATACTCTTAATCAGACACATGTGTAAATATCACATTGTCTCTCTGGTATGAGAAATAGAAAGTATAAATAAGAACCAAAAGGTATAACTGATAATGTAAATTAGGAAGTAATTGTTCAAAGGGAAAGAGGAATGGGGACTGGAAGGTAAAAGAAAAAAATGAGAAAATAAAAAGGATGAATTGAAGACAAAGCTAGACGACCTGGGGCCCGCTGGATTCTTAATAGACCAAGAGCGCAGGTCCGGCCAGTGAGTGAGACCGCCTGGGGCCCACGGATCCTCATTCCACCCAGAGTACAGGCCCAGCACAGAACCCTTCAGCAGAACTCCCAGCAAAGAGGCTAGAGGCAAGACCCACCCAGCTGATTCAGG